TGGCATGTGGTGCTGGGGGATTGAACCACGGTCCCCAATGCTTTGCCAAGCTTGTTCTAAGTAGGTGCTTTAGACCACTGAGCCATCTCTCCAGCCCCGAAGTGCCTTACTTTTAAGAACTGCAAGACATTCCAGGCTCATCCTGTGTTGTCCCTACCTCAGACCTAGGCTCAAGAGGTAGCTCCATTTCTCCAGAAGCTAGCTTTTGAAAGGCAGAAGCCAGAGATGTGGAATGTTCCCCTGTTATACACGAGGGTACACAGTGCTTCTCGGCCCAGGATCCTTTGGAGAATTAGTGGAGGATAAAAGAAGGACACGTGAGGCTGCTCCATTGTTTTATTTGCCTGGCTTGGATGTAGCACTCTGATGAGCTACCCAAGGTTATCTGATCTGTGCCATTTGGGTCAGAGTGTTCCTCAGACCACCTGTCTGTGCATGATGGCCAGATTCTAGAAGCCTCCGTATCCCAAACAGAATGGCAAGCATCCTGAGTCCTTGAGGTTTAGCTGGTCAAAGTCTAGAGAGTCTCAGATGTCTAGGGCATTGCTGTCCTGTCTAGTCGCAACTATGAACCTGCCAAACATCAATTTTTGTTTTCCCACAATGTTATTCCAAATGTGGCTCCTGCCCTATCTCCTCTCTCATACATGCTCAGTAGATGTCTTTACTTCCTTTAGAAAGAGCAACCCGCCTGAGCAGCATCCCTTATCTTTCCCTGTGACAGCACCTCTCTCCTCTCCAAGGCTAACTCTGCTCCCTGAGCCTGGATCTGGCCTCTCCTTTTCCTAAGACCATCCCTCCTTCTCACACTTTCCGTGTTGTGCCCCATCACTGACTCCTCTTCCTTAGCCTAAAGTGATACTCAAGTCTCTTGGCCTACAGAGACTTTCTGGCTTTGCTTTAACCTCTAGCCAACTAAAGTAGAATCATCTCCCTTGACAGCTGGGGCCAGGGAGACTCTGGAGATAGAAGATTTTTTCTAAAGAAAAAGGGTGGCTTCATGGAGGGCACCTGACAGACCAATTAAGTGGTTCCTTTCTTGGAAAGAGTCCAAGATGATCAAATAGTATAAGGACTGTTACAGAGGACAAAGCTGAGTGCTGGCCAGAGCCACCCAGGAAGGCTCCTGAGAGGCCAACCTGACCTGGGCTGGAGCTAGGATTGAAGGAGAAGAGTGGAGGCCACTGCTTCCAGTAGTGGCTGCCAGAAGTGGGAGGAAAGAAGGGGCATCCACGCCTTCTCTCCTCACCCCAGACTGACAGCCATTTCACCTCAGGGGGTTCACACCTCCAAGATGGGCCTGCTTCCTGCTGACTGGGTAAAAGTCAAAGTGATTTACTGCCACACCCATTTAAGCCTCTTTGGGTCTGGTCCAGGTAATGTGGGTGTGCCCTAATGACCAAGAGCAAAAGGACGCTGAATCAGGGCTCAGAGCACCACTCAGCCCTTCCAGACACAGCCTCGTTTCCATCTGAGCCTGCTCCTGCTCTTCATTTCTTCTCTGGTGACCCCTCTCCTTGGCTCTATAAGAATTACCTTAAGAGCCTTGCCTCTGTCCTGGTCCTTGGAAATCAGCTCAGAGACTAGCTCCCTGTATGGGCTCATTTGCTGCGGTTCCAAGTGGACACCTGTGCTTCCTGACCCCGGCCAGTTAGGTCCATCTGGCCTATCTGCTTATTCATTCACTGAACAAAGATTTACGGAGGACTTTCAGTTGCAGTTCTTGATAGCGGGGATACAACAATGAGCAAAAGACATGGCTTTCTAAGAGTGTGCATATGTGTATCGAAGACATTATGCTAATTATTTCACAAACTGGTAACACTAAGTGGGCTGGGGATTTAGCTTAGTGGTGTAGCACCTAGCTGGCAAGCTTGAAGTCCTGAGTTTGATTCCCTGTATCTCCCTCCACACCCCCCCCAAAAAAAAACTAAGTACAACAACAACAACAACAAAATATAGGCAATGCTCCTAAAGAAGCCATAGTTTACTGTGGTCTGCAGAATGAGTAGGAGCTGGCTAGGTAAGAGAGTTAAGGTAACGCCATAGCTGAAGGGGAGAATCTTCCCAGCGTCAGAAAATAGCATGGAGAAGGCTAAAAGCATGATAGGAAGCCTGAGAGGGTAGGAGGAAAGAAGGCTGGAGAGGGTGGCGGAAGCCAGCTGGGGCAGGGACTGGAAGGCACACTTAGTGTCCTGGTCTCCATTCCAAGGGCCTGGGGAGGAAGGCCACTGACTCAAGAGTGACATGATCAGACTTGTTTTTGAAAGTTCCTAGCCACAGTGAGAAGCACAGATTAGAAGGAGCTGGTGCTCCTGTGAGGAGACACTGGAGGTTGGCAGGTGACAACTGGGGTCCCAGGAGAGACATGGGCAGTGTTAGGTGGCGACTCCATCTGCAGTCCCTTGACTTTTTTACTGTCCTGAGATGCCCAGCTCATGTGGGCAACGGGTCCTTAGCAGAAGAGGACTCTGTATGTGCAGAGTATGTCCACTTCTCTAAGTCCTGCTTTTGCCATCCTAGGTTCACTCTGAGTATAGAGCCAAACCCTGAAGCAGTGACTGTCCACGTGGGGTCCCCACCCCACTTTTCCCAGGGAGGTGCCCAAGCACCTGCTTCCAGGTGCGGTATTCTCCCTACAAGGCTGGCTTCCAGAATTTCTGGGGGGTAGGGTTGCCCCAAGGTCTCTCAGCAAAGGGGCAGTAAACAGAAAGACAAAGGTGGGGTGTAAGGAGGGGCACGGCCACGTCCATCTCCAGATCTGGAGGCCCGAGCTATAATCTGGGTACGTGACCTTGGCCAAATCCCTTCCTTCCCTGGTTCACAAACCGAAGGTAGCCGCCAAGTGTCCACAGCTGCGAGTGGGACTACAGGTCCAGCCGGCGGGATGCTCTGGGCGGCCCCGCGCCAAGCCCGGGGTTGGGGTCGACCAGGAGGACAAGGGGGCGACAGGGAAGGACAGCAGCGGCTGCGCGGTGGGGCGGGGACACTGTCCACACCGCGCGCCCCCCACCTTTCTCCGAGCGGAGGCCTGGGGGCCACGAGGTTACATAAGGGGGTCGGAGGTTGGTGGGGACGGGAGGAGAGGCAGGAGAGGGCGCGAGGGGAAGGGGGGGCGGACGGGAGGGCGCGG